AGGTACCAGTATGTTTAACTCTGTATGATAAAGATGTGAGGTACCAGTATGTTTAACTCTGTATGATAAAGATGTGAGGTACCAGTATGTTTAACTCTGTCCGATAAAGATGTGAGGTACCAATACATTTAACTCTGTCCAATAAAGACGTGAGGTACCAGTATGTTTAACTCTGTCTAATAAAGGCGTGAGGTGCCAGTATGTTTAACTCTGTCCGATAAAGATGTGAGGTACTAGTACACATAATATCATTCATTCAGGTTTAGGGTAAAGCACAAGACCTACAAAAGTATCTATCATTAGCTACCTACATAGATCAGAACTAAATATTAACCAAGTAATGAATATTAATGTAGTTTTCTAACTTGGTGTTGGCAATGTCACAACTCAAATATTTCTAATTATTAGAATACGCTGATTTATCAGTTAGGTACTCTCACCGTTAGCAATATGTTAGACCCGAGGCATTATGGGAATTGTCTTATGATGCTACATTGCAGTTTCTTGCAGACTTTGTTGAATTACTTCGTATTCGTACTTTTAAATGGTACTAAATAGTAAAACATAAACTTTTAAAATGGTAAAAAGTTTAAGTATTCAAGTAAGCATTTTCTTCTGTATAATTTACAGTAACCGATGAACAAAACTGTTGTTGCTTCGAAAGGTTATGAGCCGATTTTCTGTATTATTCTAATATCAAAATCTATGGTATAAACAGTTAAAATTATCGTCACTTGTGCCACTTTTTGGACCCTCTGAAGTTCCTAAATAGCTAATGACACCTTAAATTCCATTCACAGTGTTTGTTTGTGTGTTAAGAAGTAATTTATGCTGCTCCTTTATGTCGTCTTTATGTTTCACTAATATTTAAATTAATCCATTTCATGAAAATATACTGACCACAGTGCTTCAAGGCCAGAGAAATAAAATACATGTAATGTGGCTTTTTTATGAATAATAAGTCATCCAACATTTAAAAGACATTAAGTATTATTTTTTTGCTAAACAAATCAAAGTCATTATTTTATAAGCTGTATTACACAGTTTAACTTAAAAAGGTTTGAAATTCCATTTAAGTGGAGTCAGATAGAAGCAGGTTAAATTATTTTCAGTTTCATAAAATTACATGATTAGCAAAATTCTCGAGAACTGACTGAATACAGAAAGGCATACCTTCTTGTTAGACTTCCCAGTGGATTATTAATAAGACTATCAAGAACTGACTGAATACAGAAAGGTATACCTTCTTGTTAGACTTCCCAGTGGATTATTAATAAGACTATCAAGAACTGACTAAAATACAGAAAGGTATACCTTCTTGTTAGACTTCCCAGTGGATTATTAATAAGACTATCAAGAACTGACTGAATACAGAAAGGTATACCTTCTTGTTAGACTTCCCAGTGGATTATTAATAAGACTATCAAGAACTGACTGAATACAGAAAGGTGTACCTTCTTGTTAGACTTCCCAGTGGATTATTAATAAGACTATCAAGAACTGACAAAATACAGAAAGGTATACCTTCTTGTTAGACTTCCCATTGGATTATTAATAAGACTGTCAAGAACTGACTGAATACAGAAAGATTTACCTTCTGATTAGACTTTATAGCAGGATTCTTAAGACTATCAATAACTGACAACCTACCAAATACTGACAGGTACACTTTCTGGTTAGCCTTTCCAGCAGGATTCTCAGCTATGCAAGTGTACAAACCAGCATGATGTAGTTGTGCCCTGTTAACAAGAAGTACACCTTCAGAGTTGATGCTCAACTTCCCATCGTCTGTGGTCACATTTATTCCATTCTTTTGCCAATGGATGATAGGTTTTGGATATCCAGAAGTTAGGCAAGGAAGAGAGACGGTTTGGTTTACGAGAGAAGTAAGGTTGGAAAACGGTAGTGGCACAATTGACGGTGGAACTATAACGATAAATTAAAAGTCCCAGAGAGAATAACAATGTTTCTATAAGTTATACAACAAACATTTTAGATAAACTCAATCCTTGACAATGTTGAGATCAGATCATTATACAATCAGGATACCAGCTCAAATACTCAATATTAATGAATCACAGCCTGTAAGTGGAGTTAAATGTTAAACAATTTAAGATAACATAAACTCAGGCCTTAATATCTATAGTATTTAGGTTGAGTTAAAGTATTAATAAAGGTATCACAAACACAATACTTCAATAAAGT